CGCGCACTCTGGGCGGTTAATTCATTCCTATTCGCCAGCAGAGTGGTTATGATGCAGCACATGGTTGACGTGTTGAGCGTCGCCATGCGGAAAGGAGCTTTAGAGTCGACTCAACTGATTTGTTTGTTCAATCGATTTGTTTGTCGTTGAGGCTGGGGCCCTTGGAATACATGTTGTGCGGCACGCTGGCCGTGACTTCGACGGGAGTCTTCAGAACGCAACAAGGGCCCGACATCCTGGAACATGGTGAACGCATGGCGCTCGATGCGTTGGTGTGTCCGGTCGACAGCCGCGGCAGTATTTGGACCAGTTTGCGCTGCAATGCGACGCGGGCTGACAGCCAGCACTTATCTTATACATCAGCAGCTCGTCTGGAACAAGTTGCTACCTACGCGGGCGAGGTTGCGGATTCGGAAGGACATTGCCGCCGCCGCAGCTGCGTGCGCCACAGAAACGTGGCACATCACATCCACCATCCACCAACATGTTCGAAGCTCGGAGTTGCAAGCCTCACGGCGCGCTCTACTGCTTAGGCGACAACGCATCGGAGGGCCCGCTGAATACCACATTCGGGCAGCAAGGCAGATGGAATCATGGTCCCAGAGGCGCCCTTTGACAGCCTTGGCGTCTTGATGTCTGAAGGCAGCGTGCGAGGAGTCCTGACAAGAATTGTGGTTCCGGATAGTGGGATCACGGAGTCCGCCCGAGAGCTGCGGGAGTGCCGTGGACCAGCCTGGCGGAAAACGTGCCGTGCTATCTCACCGGAGCAGAAACGACGTACTTAGGGGGTGACGCACAGTAAGGGCGGGCATCAGCCGCCAGACTGGCACCATCCATTATTTGCGGCGCGCGGGGCAAAATGGATTGATGAATAAAGAATCCTTGCGGAAACCTTTCAGAGTGGATGAAGAAAGTACCGGCCTTTTCCGCAAAGCTGTCGAAAGAGAAAACCTTGCCATGGCTGGCGCCCAATGCTGGCGATGGCTTTGCTTATCCATGGTTCATCATTATTGCGCATGGAAAACGCTGCACTTGTTCCGCCATTTCTTCCCAACCCTTCTTAGGTGCAGTGAGGATAACCTGGGGCACATCTATAGGTGCAAACCAACAGCCAGCAGGTTGAAGCGTTGTTCGTTGGGAGACCTATCTGCGGAAGAGAAGTTGTCTGGTCGATATGTGTTCGAACTGCCCCACGATTGCATTGGTTCCTGGACAACGGTTTGTTGTACCACTTGGACATGCCGATCGTGGGATTTGGCCCCCGCCTGTATTATTCTATCAGGGGCCGTTGTGCACATTTCTTTGGGTTGGGGACATGGTTGGAACAACGACACCAGTCAGGGCAACGCGATCAATACACATGATTCGCCACGAATCAGGCTATTCGTCGATGGGGCCCTACGCCATCAGACCGTGGCAGCAAGAGCGATTGCAGCAAGTTTCATAGAATTGTTCTGTGGACCGCGCGTTACTTCGAAGAGTCGGTCGTTACTTGGGACCTTTCCGCAGCTCTTTTGAGGCAGAGCCCGTCACCTTGGAATGGGGCCAGGATGAAGCGATTGCACGACTGAGAGGGTTAATGGCGAGGAGAAGGAGCAGAAACAGGAGGAGGAGGAGGAGGGGGAGGAGGGGGAACAGGACGGAGGAGGAGGAGGAGGAGGACGAGGTCGAGAACGAAGACGAGCACGAGGACGAGAAGTGGGAGAAGCAGGAGGAGGAGGAAGAGAAGGAGGAGGAAGAGGAGGAAGAGGATAGGAAGAGGAGGAGGAAGAGGAGGAGGAGGAGGATCAGGCGGGCCCAGAGAGACTATAAGTCGCTCCGGAGCGTTGCCCAGGGCGTATTCGGAGCGCCCAGGAGCGCCCGTAGAACATGCCGCGGGGCTTGGTGCATCCTCCAGAGTTCCCAAGGATTCCAGATGATCCCTCTTCGGATTGGGCCGCGAAGGATTGAGGCGTGCAGTGCGGTTGGTTTTCTTCGACCGCGGTCTCCGAGGGCCGCCTTCGGGCGCCGGGGCGGGGCGCGCCGAGCCAGCGACGAGGCATTGGCCCCGGGGAAGGGGTCTGCATGGGGGCCGGACGCCGCGGCGTGAGACAGCGCAACACAAAAAATCGTCGCAGGGCTGGGGGCGAGGGGGGGGATCTGCACGCACGAAATGGGCACGGAAAGAATGGGTACAATGCCCAACAGCGGATCTTGTTCAGTTTGAACAGGGCTCGCTGTCCACGCCGCCGCGGCCTGTGTCCATTCGACACAGGAGGCCGCCTGCCCAACAGCGGCCGCTGTTGGTTTGGGCCAACATTTGCTGTTGGGCATAGTACCCATGTTTTCGGTACCCATTTCGGGCGTCCAAAGAGGAGGAGGAGAAGCGGGGGGGGGGGGGCGACCCGGACGCCAGGGGCCGATCTGCAGGGAGCGCCCTGCGCGCTTCGGGGATCCGCGGTCCCCGGGGCTTCGCCGCAGTACGTTTTCGTGGCCTTCCGCCGCCAGCCTTCCAGGATACTTTTGCAGCTGGCCGTCGGAGCAGCGCAGAGTGCAGGCTCCCCTGGGTGAGTGCAGCTGGCAGCTTGGCTGCAGATGCCACAGGCTCAGGGAGAGCGCCTGTCGGCACAGGCGCACGCCCGCCAGCATGCCTGCGTGCCCGTGGGGAGGGGGCCGGGGCCCCGAACCTGCTCCGAGCAGGCCTGCGCTCCTTGGCGCCGGCGGGCAGGCGCCCAGGCCAACACGGGAACCTGAACGGGTCTTTTTGGGCACCTCGTCTCGAAGCCCCAGCGGAGCATTACCAGCCTCGAACTTATCCCTATCCCTGAGCTTGACACGCCAAAAGGCGATGACAATCTTAGGGATGCGCCCTCAAAAAAATAAGGGAATCCCTAAGGTTGGCATCGTGATGAGGAGATGCCCAGCATAGGGATAGGGATGTGTTCCAGGCTCGTAAGAGCAGTTGCTTGTGTGCCAGAGGTTTGCAGTCTGATCCAGGCGAGCAGGAAACCGTCGGTATCAGGCCCCGGCCCGCCTTTCAGGGGGCAGGCTCGCACGCGGTTTCCCTTCTGTCTCGAGCGATCGGGCACTGCCAGATCCTGTGGTAGTCACCCGCGAGGAAGCCACGGGATCAGGACGGGAGCGAGTCGTAGGGGCGTCCTCCATGATCCCGCGACCAGCTCCTCTGACTGGGCCGTGTGTGGTCCGTGGGCCCGCTGAAGGCCCCTGGGCCACGGACGCAGCGAACACGAATCGCCAGGACTCGGTTCCATCATGCAGCAGGCATGGCAAGTTCATGGGGCTGCTCAAAGCGATGCCCAGGGCAATCTCCTAAGCCGTCTCTGTTCTCGGTGCGCCTTCGAGCTCTTGTCCATCTGGGGCCCACCGCGAGCGGCTGGAGGTGCACCAGAGCGGCACTGCGGGGCAACATCTCGAACATGATGCGTTGCTGCTGCGAATTGGGATGGAGGCCAAGTGCCGACATGGTCGACCTCTGGCCAAGCATGTTGCAATACGGGCACATCAACCTACTCGCGTAGCTTCACTGTCGTGCTGTCGTATCTTCGACGAGGCTGGCGTTGCCCCTCCCACCCCAGCATAGCCCGTTGCAAACAGGTTTGGCTGTGGGGTGGCAGGTCCTGGGAGGACTCTTGCTCCCCCTGCTTCTCTCCGAGGCGGCCTCTGTGGGTCCGTGGAGGTTGCCGGGTAGCTCAGTAGCTATGGCGGACCGATACGGGCTGGACACGTTCAAGCGTGTTTCAAAAAGTGGCCAAATTGACCTCCACCAGCCGTCAGTTTCCTCCTCCCTCCCCCTCCCTCTTCGATCGCCTGCGCCTTCTTCTCCCTCTGTTCCTCTTCTTCATCATCCCTCCTCCTCTCTGCTGCGGTCGTTTATCTCGTCTTCATCCTCCTCCTCATCCTCTTTTCCCTCTTCCTCAATTCTGACCGCTCACAGACATGCCAACGGTCATGTTGTATGTGTTGTTGTAGTGTGCGAGATTCGATGATCTGCTGCTGGGGTCGGCCCGCTTTGCTCCCTGGGATGTTCAATTTCCGACGCACTCGACGTTTCAAAGCCAGCACGCCGACGTCGAGCCATCGCCGCGATGCGCCGCCCAGCACGTGGAAACGCGTGGTGCTCGCAGTTGTTGTTGCGGCATGCGCGGGGCGTTGGGGCGTGGCGCACAGCTCGCGCGAGACACGGAACGACGAGGGGCGGCAAGTGCATTCGCGTGGGCGGGATGCCGCGAGCGCGAGGTCGGAGCAGCCCATTTTGGTTTACGCCGGTGTCGGCAACGATGTCGCACGCCCTTGAGTTGCCCATCGTTGTTCATCATTGTCCTCGGCTGTTCCCTTCGCCGCGTCGGCGTTCCTGCGGCCATGCTTCGACTGTGTGCAGCGAAGCAGGGGCGCCGACAATGATGAGCTCAGAAAATTCGGTGGACCTTTTGTCGCCGTCTTGGACGGCCACTGTACATAGCCCCCTCCCTGGAGCTCGGCAAAGCAACAACAGGGCGGAGATAACGGCGTTCCTGGACTGCCTCCAGTCGACGGTGGGAGACCTGGTCTTCTACACGGACTCGGAGATCCTCTGCAAAGGTTGGCATAGCCGCAGGTACCTCATCACGGGCTACAAAAAGGCCCACGGCGACCTGTAAAAGAAAGTGCGACAACGACTAGAAGTACGAGGAGGTGCGGACATTCAGGTTCGCCACATCGAGAGCCACATGACGATCGACCAAGCTCGTGAACGAGGAGTACCACTGGAGGCGTGGAAGGGCAACCAGAAGGCGGACTCCTTGGCGGGCGAGGCGGCGGCAGCCCACGAGATCTCAGAGGCGCAGATGGGCTGCTACAACTGGGCGAGGGCCACGGCACACTTGGTGAGGACACGCATCGGCCATGACGTGGGAGGAAAAGGCTGAGGCGAAAAGCAAGAGGAAGAAGACACTAGACGTGAAGAACAACTACGTGTACCTGAGGCAGCACACCCCACACTTACTGCAACCAGAAGGGCGAACATGGATATGTGCGAGATGCAAGGAATCGATCGGGAAGCACCAGAGGTCACGGCAGGTGGAGTAAGGCGAAGCTCAGACTCAAGACGAACATCAAGAAGGAGCTCAGCGCAACCTGGTCCTCAAGGGAAAGATCTCCCACCACGCGCACGTCATCTGCTGGTCCAGGCACAAGGAGCGGCACTTCTGCTGGAGCTGCGGTGCTACGGCGGAGAAGCACCTGAGCAACAAGATGGTGAACAGCTGCGAAGGGTGGCCAGCGGGCCAGGCATCAAGGTACGCACTGAAATCAATCAGGCGCAAGATGGACTGGGCACCAGGAGCGGGAGATAGATGGAGCAAAAACACCATGCAAAAGTTCACGAAGTCCGAGCAGCATAAGAGCAACGCGAGGGACCACGCGAGGGTCCACGCCTCGAGTCAGAACGATGAGAGGTCGGTCGCTAGTGGGCCGTCAGCCCGCAGGGGCACCGTGAGATTTCATTATTGCAAGAGAGTTGTGCCATGAATGCAGTTGTCGAGCGGATCTTGATCGACTTCTGCAAGGCGGCACCAGACCGACGACCACGGAGGCCCCGTGGACTGCGAGAAGGACGGCGGCGACATCCGCGCGCCGTCCATCTGAGCGGGAGGCTGACGCCTGCCGCTCCCGACAGTCGTTGACTGATAATGAATTTCGGGAAAAAAATTGTCGCCGTCTTGGATTTTTTTCTGGCCTCTCCCGGGGACGCTGGGCCCCCTCCCGGGGAGACCCTGGGCGCGCAACTTCGGATGTGGGTCCGCATTCGTTTTGTACTCGTTCCTCCCACTCGTCCTCCGCCTCCTCCTCCTCCCCCTCCTCCTCCTCCTCCTCCTGCTCCTCCTGACAAGCAGGATGAACCGCTCTCTCAGGGAGTCGTTCGCTCCTCCTCCTCCTCCTCCTCCTCCTCCTCCTCCTCCTCCTCCTCCTCCTCCTCCTCCTCTTCATGCGCCCCCCCCTCCCGCCGAAGACTCGAGCGCGCGGCCGCGTGGAATTGCGCGCGGAAAGCGCGGACGCGAATTACACGATGCGCCGACAGGGGGCCTCTCGGGCCGGAAACGTGCACGTTTCTGCCCCCCCCATTCATCCCCCCGCCCGCCCCCAGTCATCGCCCCCCCGTTCCTCGCTCCCCCGTGGCCCAGGGCTGTGGTGCCACATCCGCAGGCGTGGCTCGGCGACAGCTGGGACAACCCAGGGCAGGCTCCTCCCCCGGGCGGGCTGCTCGGGAGCCCGAGAGAGGCCCCCGCGGGGGCCCGCCGGCGGGCCCCCTCGCCAGGAATCGTGGCCGAGCTCGCGACGGACTTGCGACCTCGCGCGGCCTGCGTGTGCTCTCGCCCCGACCAGCAGGGCCGCGTGCACCGAGCATCCGGGCGCGCAGCGCACCATCGCCGATTTTGCGCGCGGCGTTCGACAACGCTGGTCGGGGGCCCCCGCGGGGCCGTCCAGAAGCCTTGGTTGGGCGCCCCAGGGCGCGCCCCAAAGTGGCGCCTCGGCGACCTCAAACACCGCCCGCCAATGGTTCCTCCGACAAAACTGCCCCCCGCAGGCACTGCCGGACTCCCCTCGCCCCTTGCTCTGCGCGTTTTTCCCCATCGGAGTCCGACGGAACAGGACACTGACGGAGAAGTAGGCGGCCGGTCCTAATGGGGGGCGCTCGCGGAGTTCGACGGGCGGGCGGGTTCGCGCCCCTCTTGGGCTGGTCCCCGCGCTCTCCCTTCCGCGGGTGTCCTCAGCAGGGAGGCCGCCCTCGCGGTCAGGAGGAGTCGGCGCCGTGCCGCGGCATCCGCACTCCGCTGGACTACGGCCAAGACTCGGGGGTGGACAGAACCACCAACAGTGACACGTCGATTAGTGAGTTGTCCGTTCTCGGTTCTCGAGAGGGCGAGGCGGCCGTCATTTTCCAGGCTTGCGCCCGCCAGGTTTGGGCCCGAGGTCGTTTTCACTAAACCAGGTTTTACTCAAGGGGGTTCTGTCCATCCCCGAAAGACGCTGAAAAAAGGACCGCTTTGGGTTCGGAAGGGGCTCGGGGATTCGGGTCGCTTCTTAGATTCATGTCGCGGGATTTGCTTGTGGCCTAGGCCCCACCGTGGCCAGAAACGCCCCTCTGTTCCTTGTTTAGCGTTCCTCCTGCTAGTGCCTCGACTGTAGTGGCCCGAGGGGGGGCGGGCGCGGCAGGAAGGCGGAGGGGGGGGAGGGGCGGGAGGGGAGAAGAGGAAAGGGTGGACAGGAGGGGGGGAGGGGGGGGGGCGGGGGGGGAGAAGAGGAAAGGGTGGACAGGAGGAGGAGTAATCCCTCGTCCTCCCTCCATGCGCTCACGCTCGCCGCTCCCCGCTCGCATCTGCCCGCCACTCCTCCTCCGCTTCTCTCCCGGCCCCCCCACCTCGCCTTCTTCTCCTTACGATTGGTATACTTACTATTATCATTATTATCATTGTTATTACTAGTATGATTAGTATTATTATTATTTATTATTATTATTATTATTATTATTGATATTTTTATTTTTATAGTATTATTATCATTATTATTATTATCCTTCTTTTTGCTTTCCTGACTCTTGTTGTTCGTATGCGTGTTGCTCTCCTTCTCCTTCTCCTCCTTTCACCCCCTTGCCCTCGCAGACTTCCTGCTGCCGCCCCCCCCCCGCCCTCGAGCACCGCCTGCGCCCCCCCGCCCCCGCGCGAGACCCTCTGCGAAGCCACCGCCTCCGGCGCACCCCGTGCTTTGCCGTGCCCCGCCCGCGCCCCCGCCTGGCCCCCTGGGCCTGCCGGCGTGGCACCGCTCGGGCGTGTGCACTTCTTTCTCGGCGACGGCCATCGAGCAGCAGCCTCGACCACCGAGCCAACAAAAAAGCACGCGCGAAACCGAACAATGCGCGGGGAAGGGGCGTCCGAGCGAGGGCAAGGTCGCGACGCGACCACGCAGGCGTTTTTTTTGGTTTTGTTTCGACGAGGCCCGGGTCTGCCTGGTTGCTGCCGCCGCGCCAGGCGTGATTCAGAGGAGGAAGAGGTACCGACACCGCTACCCTTCGCCCGTTTTCCCCTTTTTCGGCCTCCTCGGAGGCTCTCGTTGTCACTGCTGGATTCGCCTCGAAATCCCGGTCAGAACGCACCCCAGGAGAGGTCCGGGGAGTAGCGGTATCGGTACCTTTTGGTTTCCCCAGTGATCGCGCCCACCACCAGCCGCGCAGCGATGCGCTCGGCCACGCCGTTCTGCGCGTGCGGCGCGCGGCGCCGCCGCCGTGCCCTGGCGTCGATTGCCCCGTGCGTTCGCCCGCCGTGCACACTGCCGTGGTCGTGCTCGGAGGGTGTCTGATGGATGGTAATGGAGGATGACGATGAATAAATGACCGGGGGTCGTGTTCACGCGGCGGCGCCCGGGATGACGATTAGAAAAAACCGGCCGCGGGCTGGAAAACTATTCTTTTTCATCGTTCTCCTCCAGCCAGAAAATTATGCAGAAATCGCAGAAAACTACTTTTGTGAATCGTTCTCTCCCATCTTTTTATTAATCGTCATCCCGCATGACATGGTAGCGCGTGTGGTGCTCCCTGTTCGCGGCGTGGCCAGCAGTGCCTGCGTCCCGCTGCCAGCTCCTGCAAATGGCGACGGGTCATGTGTGCTTTTTTTTTTCTGGCCAGGCAGCGGCGTCGTGGATCCGTGACGAGTTCGAATTGCGCTTGTTTGCGCTAGGCGGCCCTCGCGCAAAGGGGGCCGCGCAGCTGGTCAAGGGGTCGGGCGACCTTGCGAACGGAGAGAAGCTATATTAATATGTGTCGAATTGTGGTCACAGACGACCTTTCTTCTGGCATCTGCCTCCTCCTCCTCCTCTTGCTCCCCCCGTTCCTGCTTCCCTCTCTCAGCTCTTGGCCCGCGCAAGCGCGCTCCGGGTCTATGGCCCCCAATTACTGCTCAGATTGCCTCTCTTCCGCGCGGGATGGTTCGGCGTCCCCTGCGCGTGGGGCCCTCGCGGTGAAAGACGTCTTTGTTTGTCTTCCCCCTCGTCATCCCTCCAAGATTTCTGGAGACAGCCTTCGAGTCCGACCTGGCCTGTTCTCGGAGAGCCATTCGGGATCACAAGAGCGGCCATGCACACCCACGCGCACACGCGGCGCTGGCGATCGCTCGACGCGCACACGGGAGAAAACCCTCCACGCACCAGGGCTCATTTCGACCCGATCCTATTCTGGTGTTCCGACGGTCCGCTGTTGCCCGATGGTTGCGTTGCACGGCGTTGTCGCGCATCCTGGCGCAGCCGCTCCACGTCGATTCCGACTCCATGTCCGATGCGGCCCGCCTCGACACAGACCGTTCGGGCCCTCCCCTCGCCCTGGCTGCCGCTGCTCCTCCCGCCCACCTGCCGCCTCGCGCGGGGGCGAGAGAGGGAGGCAGAGAGGGGCGACCAAAAAGAAGAGGTGAGAGATGGGGAGGGCCCTGCGTCATCGAGGATAAAAGAACCCCTCCCTAACCCTAATACCAGACTGAAGACGAGGCCTCCGTCCTTGCACTCGGGACAACCAGTCTGGGCGGTTTGGTGTGACACATCTGTAGAAAAGACCCCGCACCCATCATGTTTCTGATCCTCCCAACTTCGGTCGCCTCCCGAAGGGTTAGGGGTCCTTTGGTACCACCGCCCGAAGGCGGAGCTGGCGCGCTACCCGGAGACCCACGCCAAGCTCCCGAGGATCCTCCGCTGGGTGCTGCGGAGGTACCCGTTGGAGCAGCCAGCGCTGGGGCGGAGGCTCCTCGGTCGGCGGGCCTCTTCGGGAGGGGCCTACTCCTCCTCCCTCCTCATCCTCCTCCTCCTCCTCCACCTCGTCCTCCTCCTCCTCCTCCTCCTTCTCCTCCTCCTCCTCCTCCTCCTCCTCCTCCTCCTCCTCCTCCTCCTCCTCCTCCTCCTCCTCCTCCTCCTCCCCCTCTCCTCCCATCTCCACCTTCTCTCCCCCTCCTCCTCCTCCTCCTCCTCCTCCTCCTCCTCCTCCTCCTCCTGCTGCTCTTCCTCCTCCCCTCCCCCTTCTCCTTCCCCTCCCCCTCGCCCCCTCCCCCCTCCCTCCTCCTCCTCCTCCTCCTCCTCCTCCTCCTCCTCCTCCTCCTCCTCCTCCTCCTCCTCCTCCTCCTCCTCCTCCTCGGCGAGTCCGTCAGCGTGTCGCTTCTGCGCTCCCGCCCGGGGACCTCGTGCGAGGGAAGGTAGGACTCGAGTAAGCCAGAATTCGGGTTCGCCGCCGTTTTCTGGCGAGCGCGTCCTGGATTTTTGACGGTCCAGTTTTTTGGGTGGGACGTTTGTAGCGGGAGCTCGCGTCAAGTTTCAGATCGGGTCTCGTCATTTTCAGCCATGGCCCCGTCGGGCCAATCCGAGTCCCCCGAACCCGAGTCTTACGTCTCCCCGACTCGTGCCCCTTCAACGGCAGCACGAACTGTCATTGAGGGGCCCCCGCGCGTCCTCCTCGCCCTCCGCCTCGTGCGACGGCGTGCCCGGTTGCATTGCCGCACGTTCTCGCCACCTCCAGGCCGCCACGGCAAGCGAACTTCCAAATGCCCCCCAACCGGCCAGCCCGCCCCCTTTTCCAGGACAAGCCGCACCCCCTTTTGTCATGATTTGACGGGCGGTGCCCGTTGGATGGTTGTCTTTCCGCGGGAAAAGTATTGCAGAAGTTTTAGTTCGGCTCTGTCGATTCGCTGCTGCCGCCCGCGGCCCGCGGCGGACACACCCACGTACATGCACCTCACGAGTGGTAGAAGAAGCGACTCATGTGGACGATGCCTGCGGCGCCCTCGAGCCTAGACTCCCGGCGTGGTTCAGGCGTGGGCACGCGCATCGAGGAAGGAGGATGAGGAGGAGGAGGAAACGGCGGAGGCGGAGTGGGAAGAGGAAGAGGATGGGGGTCGAGGTGGATGGTCGGTGATCGAGTGTCGAGAATTGAGGGCGGTCGAGGATGATGATCAATGAGGACGATGATCGAAGACGAGCTGCAATATCGAGGATCTACCATCGAGGAGAAGCACAAACGAGGAGGAGGAGGAGGAGGAGGGCCGACGTTCGATGACCGAGGAAGAGGATCGAGGGTCGAGGAGGATCGAAGATCCATGGATTTCCGCTGCTGCACCGTCATTGGGCCTCCTCCTCATCCTACCTGCTCCCTCCTCCTCACCCCTTCTCCGTCGGACGGGGATGTGTAAACGCAGTCGCGAAGCAAGACTAAGACGGCCGCTTACACGCACGTGCGCACGAACACACGAGCACACAAACACGCGCTCACACACATACACACACACACGCACGCACGCACGCACGCACGCACACACACACACCACACACACATACACACACACTCACAACCACAACCACAACCACAACCACAGCCACAACCACAACACACATACACACATACGCACATACACATACACACATACACACATACACACATACACGCACACACATACACACATACACACATCCACTCATACGCACACGCACACACACACACACACGCACACACAAACACGCACGCACGCACGCATGCAAGCACGCACACCCACGCACGCGCGTCCATACCACCGCACATAAACAGAACAACGCGGAGCGATTCGAGCGAATTCTGCACAACCTTTAGACACGAATTGGTAGAACATTTAGACACGTTTTTCAATCGTCCAGACACGCCATTTAGCAAGTGTGTACACGTGCCAGGCACGATTCATATACTGTCGGTTAGACACGGATACTTGTTTTGTGTCACGCCTGTTATTTATACACGAATTCGGCACTCATGCTCAGGGCCTGCACGAGAATGCGATAGACACGCGGGTGTCTAAACCCCGCCCGAATCGCCGAAAGTATCCTCCCGCTGCAGCGGGAGCGGGATAGACACGCCGCGCGTCCATGGCTCCATTGGCTCCACTGAGTCGGAGATCGCGGCGCTGGATACAGCCCTGCGAACAGAGGGTCGGCCTCCTGTTTTCGTTCTGGGAAGCGGTAGTGCGCACCACGCACGGCGATGCGTCATTGGCGGCCAAGAAGAAGCGTCACAAACCACCCACGCGACGGGCATCGCCCACGCGTGCTTCTTCTCCCCGCACGCGGCTCACAACGCAAACTGTACCCACATCCCCACCATCTACCACCAATAATGTAGCGTATGATGACATCGTACTACATGCTTCTCTTTCTCCTCCTACCGCTGCACCCATTTGGATTAGATTACGGACACATGCCAACAGGAACATATCCAATTAAAGAATGTGGGAACAAAAGAACAGGTTGCCGATATGGTGACAAAGCATTTCGTGCCTAAGTCGGCTCACTTCTGGCAGGATTTATTTGAGTTGCCTTTCATTTTTCCTGCCGTTGCGAAGACCGCCGAAAAGCTGGAGATCGCCAGGACCGCCCCTTCCACCAAGCGTCCTCTGGCCACTAGTGTCTCTACCACCGCAGTCATTCGCACGCGTGTGTTTTGTTGTTCGTTGCATGCAGGGTTTATCTCCATTCCGCAGCAATTTGCAGTTTTCAACTCGCCCGCGCTCACCTCCTCCTCCCGCCCGCGCTGAGGACAAACGTTACCCTGCCCACGCCCATCGGCCAACGATGACGACGCGTGCGATCAAGCTTCACGGCGTGCAGGTTGGAGGTCTTGTTCCAGCGTCGGCCGATGGCAACATCCGCAACGGTCCCGGTTCCGAGTCCCAAACTGCTTGCGACCGCCCTGTCACTGGGGGGATGAGCTACAACTTTGTGACCGGGAGTCGTCCGGATGGGAGCGGATCGTTCTGGCTCCGCTCAAGCATTCAGGGCTCGATCTTTTCGGCATCGCAGACGTAGCAGGAGAGGGAGAAAGCATTCGCCGGAGATGAACCTCCGAACCCTGCTCCTGCCACGGCTACTCCGATCATGTCGTTTTTTTTTCGTCTGGGTTTTTTGTCTTGGGTCTCTACCTAAAAGATCCATTGATCGATTCTACGATGCGCCAGTCCCCTGATTTCTTGTGGACCAATCCCCACGCTACCAATACTGATGCGCTCAAATATCCTCCCGAGGGAGTTTACACACGGGTGGCTGGAGGCATGTGGAAGGTGCTAGGGATGGATGCCATGGGATAAAGTCGGAAGTGCCTTGTTGGGCAGCTCGACAGCTGCGACCATCGACGACACTCTTCGACTGTACGAGCCTCCAGGCGATCCAAGTCCAGCGCCGCTGATTGCTCGCGAACATGGACTCACAACGTGCCATTTTCTCCACGCAGTACCGCACGCACATAAAATTGCCCACAGATCAGCCGGCTGCACCTCGTACGTCAGACATGGCGGGGCACATCGGCAAAATTGCCGAGTCGCTTCAGCGTGCGTGCTGTCGCGTCTTTCGCGTGCTTACCGCATGACATGACTACGAGATCAAGGCCTCTTCATTTGCCACAGCCCGCGGAGGTTTTGGCGGCGAGAATTGTGACCTTGCGCCAGTGGCAACTCTCGCAGAGGACAACGTCACTTTAACGAAAGTGTGCAAGCTTTTCCATGGAACCGTCGTGGCAGCCCTGCATGCCGAACGAACGCCATCCAGCAGACATTTCTGCCGACGGGAATGCTGGCGGCTTTCAGCGCGACCCTTTTGACCCAGATACTACCGCCACGCGCTGGTCTGCGTTCGCAGATGGTCGGTACTTTCTGGTCATGATGAGTGATCACGGATGGGCCCCAGTGATGGAGGACGATTTCGGCTTCACCGTCGTCCACGCACTTGGCCCCGGTGGTCATGTGTTCACGTGGGCCTACTTGTACAGCGACTCGAGTTGCCTCATGGTATCGGCGGGTGGAGGGAAAGCGAAGTCACAAACACCTTGGGCTTTCTTCGACGAGATGAATGCTGCCAACTTCCGTCGGCAGAATGCCGGGGCATCCAACCCGTCGCCTGCGACGCTCGTCCGCGCGTGGATGAACGACTTCCAGTGCCAAGTGGGTGCTGCATTGGAGGACTTCAGCACTTGGATGCGAGACGACATCTTTTTTTGGGCTCTGGCGCGTGACAACTGCATGCGTTATTGGCTTGAGAACGACGCGCCAATCGGATGCGACCTGCCGCTGCTGCCTGAGGCCGGCGGCAACGCCCGCGCTCTGGAACCAGCGGCTGCGCGAGAGGCATACCACGCCAAGCTACGTCGAAATCTCGACAGGATCATGGCATCCACAGACCCAACCAATGAGGAGCAGCGAAGCATCACTGGTCACATCTGCCATGCTCGGGCGCTCTGCATGACTGGTAAGATTGAGGAGTGCCGCGCTCTCAACGAGGTTAATTGGGCGTGTTGGGCAGATCGCTTCCCTGCATGCGTCAAACAACGCCATCGCCAGCGCGGTCTCAGCGCGTTCCTCTGGTGGAGCGGCAGCGACGTTTCGACGGACGGGAGCTGGGTGAAACTCGAGCCGCATCGAGCCCGCGCAACTCCCCCAGACGAGTATGAGCGTGAATGTTCACCGTCGCCAGGCAGGGTGGCCCCGACGGTTCCCGAGCACGTCAAAGTGGACATGTCTCGTTGTATCGAGGTCTTGAACTGTTGCCGCTGCTCCGCTGTCATGGGCCCTGGCAAGGCGCATCAATGGGGGCGACCGGAGATGTTCGACGAGCTCATGGACGAGATGATCCCGATGTTCACAGGCCGCGGCGTTGCTGTCTTACCCGTTGATCAGTGGATCAGACAGCAGGACCGCCCATATACCAAGTCGTGGCACCCACAGAGGACGGATCACATCCCG